GCAACCATGGAAATCGGATGATCTTGAAATTGATCCGCAGAGGCAAGCAAGACTAAAGCAGAAGATGGAAATCTCTATGAAGAAAATCGAGAACTCGAAGTTTTACAGTGCGTTCTTAGAACAGCTCAAGTCTCCAGAGGTTTCAGAGCAGTTTCGTCTCGTGTTAGGCACTGAAACACAGATTCAGTTGGTGATGTACGGTATAGGAAGCATTGAGTCTTACGAATCTCCAAGGTTTCAACTCAGCATTGCAATCTTGATGAAGAGAGAGTTTGATTGGGTTGGTAATAACATAGAAGTATTCGATCCAGTCCTCTCCGCAACTGAATCTAGTGTTCTTGAATCTCTGGGATGTACTGTTCTATCTGTGAACGAGCAAGCGCGTAGGGAAGCTTTAAAGCCTACTCTTTTCTTCATGCCACACTGTGAGGCCAATCTGTACAACAACCTATTGCAAGCAAACTGGAGAATGGATCGATTGTCCAAAATCGCGTTGTTCGGGAACAGTTTTCGGATGTACGAGGAGCAAGTGACGTTAGACCCAGAAGTCATCTGTGCCACCAAACGAATCATAGCTGCACGAAGAATCACAAGCGAGTTTGCTATTGAGACGGTTTCAGATGATTGTTTTGCAGCATTCCATGATTCAAGCTGGCATTTTTTCAGCCCTGGTATAGATTCAGAGCTGCCATTATTGGTTTCAGAGTGATTTTAGATCATTGCATCAAATGCTTTTTGGTTTTTTGGCATGTAAAACATTTTGGTTATTCTTTCTTTTTCCTCCATGATCCTAGCCATCAAGGGAGGGGACAAACCAATTGAACTTGTTGACTTATCATTACAGTCAATACTATTTAATGTTTGAATTGGTCATAATAAAGATGCAAGCCTCTAAGTCAATTCGATTTGATTCAATATTCCATGGAAAAATGAAGACTCACAAATTTAATGTGTCCCATATTCCGGTTTATACATGTGCTAATAGTCTCTAAGTTGTGGTAATCAGTTGCTATAATTGCGATTTGTCTTTTTCATTACTTGGAATCAAATAGGAGAAGCACAGAGACAACAAAATTAGTTGAGCAACTTTTCTTTTATTTTAATAACAAAACGAAAATTACGAAAATTAATACAATACCGATACTGGTTGGTGTCTGTACGCATTGTATCAACTTGGCACACGGATATTAATTAGTCAATACATATAGATACGAGTTGGGTTATGTAATGAATTGTTTTATCAATTTTGGCACCTATATAATTGAGATAGGACTGAGTCATCAACGTGTAAGAAATCTGATTTTCTAAACACTCCACCCTCCACCTCATTGCTAAACGTAATAACATATGTCACAAATTATTTAATTTTTTAATTCACAAAACTTGTTAT